TGAACGCTCACACCCTTTTAATTATGTTTGAAATTATGAACATTGCTCAACATCATGAAAATTAAACCTTATTTTCAATAAGCAATCCTGAAAAATATTTGGGGGTGCTTAACTTTTTTCCAGGTGTATATTAATTCGGGAATTTGTTTTATTAATTAATGAATGATCACCCTTTTAAATATCTACTTACAAATTTGATGTGTGAGTTGGATTTTATATAATCTAAATTGATCATAAAAATAAGTTTCTATTTTATTACTATTTCTGCTATTTTACTTTATTTTCTTTCATTTTTTTTATACGTAGTTTAAGTATATGACATCAGTTTAATTCTCTGAATAGGAGTACTTTCATAAAAGTGATATTTCATGTGTAAAACTAGTGTAAATGAGCTAGTTCGTTTAAAATACAGAATATAAAAATACTGGTGTGTTACAAAATGTTTTTACTGTAATTTTTGTGTGTGTATATATAGGAAACAAAATCTAAAAACGAAGAAATAGTGTAACGAAACACTTTGCTTGAATGATTTCAATAATAATTTTCACCACTAGGTGGTTAGTTTTATTGTTGCACAAGCCACAAGAAATAGTGTTCCGCTCCAATGAATATCATTTTTGTGCACTAATACACAATTATATAGAACATTGAGTCTGTTATAAAACCTTCTATTCGGGCGTTAAAGTAGTGTATATTTAGGACACCAAGGAAACAATATCATATTTTTTTTAGCCTTCAGTTTATATATTGCCCCTGTGACTCGGTGGTATGACACATTGTTCGTAATATCTTTAAAAATAAGAATGTTTTAAAAATAGCTTATAAAAAGAGTGTGATTTTGAATATATATAAAGTGGAGTAGTTGACCTGAACGTCTAATTCTATAATTTCAAATGTCGATAACTTGTAGTCAAACTACTTCATTTAACAGATCCTGAGAGAAGCGTACTTAATTAGATATTCAGCTTTTTTTAAGCATTGTAGGTAAGATTGAATATTATTTAAAAAACTATATATAAATAGACCTCCTTTGTAGAATTTCATGAAAATTAGAATGTTCAGAGTACAAAACAACTCGGATTTTACATTATTTTCAGGTGGATGACCATATGCACAGGGAGATGTTAACTACAGTGAGACAGTACATGAATAATACACCGATAACGGAAGCCTGGGACTTGGTGCACAAAAAAGTAAGAGAACACTGGAATAACATTGTTTTTTCCTTTTAATTTATTAATTTTTTGCACCGGTTTCATGACTTCAAAGGTCACTCTTCAGGAAATAGTTTTACTGATATGTTTTTTTCTTTTCTGTAAGTCTTAGTAACTGTTTTCACAGTTTCACAATTCCTACAAGCAAAAGTACCCGTCCCCAGTGACGGAAAAAGTTTAAGTTAATCTATCAGTTCAAATCATTTCATGGACTTTTAAAAAGGTTAATTGTGTTGAACTCTAGGTTTCACTCAGAGCCAAAGCCTTCATACCGCCCATCACGACGAGTAACAAATCATTTTATTTCTTGCATTTAAGTTCATACATCATTCTGTGTTGTAGCCAACAGAGTGAATAATTCCTCTCGTGATTTATAGCATTCGAGGCCCGGCATGGCTAGGGGGCTCGACTCGCAATCTGAGAGTTGCAAGTTCGAATCCCCATCACACCAAACATGCTCGCCCTTTCAGCAGTGACGATCAATCCCACCATTCGTTGGTCAAAGAGTAGCCGAAGAGTTGGCGGTGGGTGGTGATGACTAACTGCATTCCCTCTAATCTTTCACTGCTAAATTAGGGACGGCTAGCGCAGATAGATCTCGTGTAGCTTTGCGCAAAATTCAAAACAAACAAACAAATTATAGTATTCGCAAGTTTTTTACAGACGTCGCGACAGTACAGCCTGCAACATTAAGCGTCCGTTATGTGATGTAATTTTAGTTTGTACTGTCTGACTGACAGACAACACACTACTAAACCTTACTTAATGATTAATATTACTAATTTAATATACTCTTCTCAGGATTTTATTTCAAATAATTAGAATGTATTATTTCAATATTCCAGTAAATCTTCGCTCTGTGCGATATATTCGGCCGTAATCTGGAATTTTCTTTCTAGAAGATACAAGTTTTGGTTGTTCTAATAATTTTCGGAAAACTGTACTTCATAGTTTTAGGTAATAAAATTAATTATACTGAACATATTAATGCTGATTGTGGATTTCTAGTAGTTTCAGGGTAAAATGTGCAGTAAAACTTTGATTATAACTAGTTTCTATGAATAATGAAGTAAATTATATAAATTATATAATAAAGCATATCGATAAAAATTATTTTGCGTTCAGGTAAAAATGAATAAAAATCCATTTATTTAATCTAATTTTTATTTTCAAGTTCGAATGCTGTGGAATGAAACAAGAAGGAAGTTCGCGACAGCCGTACAGAATTTGGGTGGACGTGAACCCCAACTTCAAGGTTACGGGTCCACAAGTTCCTTCTAGCTGTTGTAAGTCAGAAACGGTGATACCCCTGTGTCAAAAGATCCCAACCAAGGAAACCGCGTGGATGAAAGTAAGATTAATCTAACTAATTGTAGAACTTATTTAAATAAAGCTAAAAACCTAAATTTCCGTAACATAACAACTACGATCGTGTAAACATGGGGGTCTGCAGACATTTTTTCCAGGGAGTGGCAAAGTAGTATGAAATTGTGAATTTAATAATAATAATAATAGTAATAAATTCATAGACATGTGCTGAATGAATAAAGAAAGAATTATGTTTCTCACTTTCCGGGGAGGGGGGGGGACAAGTAAGCTTACCGACAAAATGCATTCTGATATTAATATCCACGTTTAATATTCATTGAGTAAGCTTTCAACATAATTGTTAGATAACAAAAATTTGGACATCAGTTGAGTTTGTTTCACCCCCCCCCCCTCTCCCCCGATATTTTACGTATCTTATGTGGCCCGGCATGGCCAGGTGGTTAAGGCGCTCGACTCGCAATCTGCGGATCGCGGGTTCGAATCCCCGTCCCACCAAACATGCTCGCCCTTTCAGCCATGGGGTCGTTATAATGTGAAGGTCAATCCCACTATTCGTTAGTAAAAGAGAAGCCCAAGAGTTGGCGGTGGGTGGTGATGACTAGCTGCCTTCCCTCTAGTCTTTCACTGCTAAATTAGGGACGGCTAACACAGATAGCCCTGGTGTAGCTTTGCACGGAATCCATAACAAATAAATAAACAAACAGTATTTTTTATGTATTGAGAACATACTCCAAGCTATATATAATTAATTGTTCGTTTTTTGATATAGGGATGTTACGACGAACTAAAGGAATTTGTTAAAAGACATGCTATTATTGTTGGTGGGATAGGAGTAGGAATTGCCTGTATTTTGGTAAGTACTTCCGTTCGAAATTGTACAACCAAAAAAATTGTTTGTATGTTGTTAAATATATATACATTTATTATTCTTTTTAATATTCAAAATACTCACGCGGTGATATTATTAGTATCTCTGAATAGTGTGTTTTGCAAGGTTTAGAAATATACATGAATTTTTTTATGTCAATATGCTTCTAAAAAGCTCGTGGAAATCATCCCTAGTTTTTCAAAATAAGTTGAAATACTACTTATGCTGCTCGGATGTAATGTTGGCTACCCTGTGGCTCGGGTGTAAGTCCGAGGTCTTAAAGTGCTCAAAATCTGGTTTCGATACCAACAGTGGGATAGTGTGGGTTTGTGCTTGGTAATAAAGAAATTAAATTGAAAAGTGTGTTTACAAATATCACTCTTCAAATTCTCTTTCCGACGCCCGTTCGTAATAAGGCCATTTGGAGGATCATTCGTGGCATTCTAATATCGATATAACTTTAGGCTGCTAGAAGCATTGTTCCCTAATTAGTACCAGGAAGTTTGGATTACTATTGATATTCAAAAATTCTTAAAATATACTACTGTTACATCACTTTTAGTATTTTATGGAGTTTTTCACGAATGGTACATTTTTATGTATTTTATCCTCTTCAGAACATCCCATTGGTGGACTTTACGTCTTCGGAATAATATTCAAAGTGATTAAACTATCCGGAGTTGCAATTGTTTATCGAGATTGATGTTTTATAAATTACAACGTATTTTTCTAGTATTCCAAATACGTGACCAGGTGGTTAGGGGGCGCTCAACTCGCAATCTGAGGGTCGCGGGCTCGAATCCACGTCCCACCAAACATGATCGCCCCACTTTCAGCCGTGGGGGCGTTATAATGTGACAGTCAATCCCACTATTCGTTGATAAAATAGTAGCCCAAGAGATGGCGGTGGGTGGTGATGGCTAGCTGCCTTCCCTCTAATCTTTCACTGCTAAACTAGGGACGGCTAGCGCAGATAGCCCTCGTTTAGCTTTGGCGAAAGTAAAATCAAATCGACCCTTTTAAAAGAGCAAGATGGCATCTCTTATTTTCCTAAATTATTGGAAGCTATTGAGCAAAATATAATACGTCAGTAGCTACTCGCAATGTTTAGAAAAATTTCAATGTACTTCTAACGTATATCCGAAACATTAATTTTTTAAATAAGTTGAAGGAATAATAATAATAAAAAATGTATTATCATTATTCGATATTTAATAACAATGTAGATAAATATTTGCTGTTAATCAGTAACTTAAAAACATTGAACTTACTCACTTGCTGATAAGTTGTTTCTGTAATAAATTATTCCCTTTTTTTGTTACTTTTCAGATTGTGGGCATGTCTTTCGCTTGTGCTCTCTTCTTGATGATAGGAAGATAAACGTTTTAGCATTTAATTCAACCAACAACAGCAACATCCGGGTATTTAGCCACAAAGTTAAATTGATTTGTTTTAATTTTGGATTCAAAGAAACCATCCCTTAGCCAGATCGGGAATTGCAAAAAAAAAAAGAAAAAGAAAAGTGCCTCTATTTAATCTGCTAAAATCTCAGACCAAGTTATAACTATTGCTTCAGTGGTAAACTGTGTAAATTTCATAGACTGTTTTATTTCAAATATGCAAACTATTAAGATTTAGTACGATTTCCTGGAAATGCCTACTCGACCAAGAAATATTTTTTCTCCACAGATATTCGCCGTTCATTCCATTTTAGTATCAGAAGTGAAACTAAATGTTTCGTATCTTACTGGACTTTATATGTTCGCTAGCTTTGCGTACCTTACAACAACATTAAACGAAGGTTCGCTAGCTTTGCGTTCCTTACAACAACATTAAACGAAGGTTCGCTAGCTTTGCGTACCTTACAACATTAAATGGAGGTATGCTAGCTTAATGTAACATTTAATTTAACTTATTTCAAATGTAATCTAAAAGTCAAAATCAAGCAGGATAACAGCCACGAGATTGACGTGCTAGAAAATTCAAATTCCACGTTTTTTTTGTTTATGTCTCCAAATTTAAGATACTTACGTCACAAACCCGCTAGCGAACCTTCGTTTAATGTTGTTGTAAGGTACGTAAAGCTAGCGAACCTTCGTTTAATGTTGTTGTAAGGTACGTAAAGCTAGCGAACCTTCGTTTAATGTTGTTGTAAGGTACGTAAAGCTAGCGAACCTTCGTTTAATGTTGTTGTAAGGTACGTAAAGCTAGTACCTGAAAGGGCATTTAAAATTAGGTTTCATTTAGAACTTTGTCATGCATGTTCGATGACGAGGAACCCACTTTGAGACTAATAATGGCTGGAGACGTCTTGAATGGGTAATGAAGAAAAACATAACAGCAAATGTACAACGTTTCGACAAAACCTGATGATGACAAAACCTTGTCGAAACGTTGTACATTTGCTGTTACGTTAAACTTATATTAAAGTTTTTCTTCATTACCCATTCAAGCCGTCTCCAACCATTATTTGTCATGTATGATTCTTCACAATAGAATAACGGTAAGTAGTTTAGAAAGTGAATTTTTTTCAAAACCTGTACAGGTTGTCATACAGATAGTAATACCCCACTTATTTATTAAGCGCGTAGAAAGGGAAATAACATAAAAATTGGATCTAAAAATACTGAAATGTATGTAATATGTTTGGAAACTATGCCTTTACTGTGCTTCTGGTTCAACTCCATTCAGAACTTCCGGTATTTCTTTTATGCTCAGGCTTGTAACTTGTGGAAGAAAATCCCCTGTAGGTTTTTGTTTTTGTGAGACGATGTTCTGGAATGAAACAAATGTATTTATAACTTGAATTTAAATATAAAACATGGATATGTCTGGAACATTATTATAAGTATATATAGTTCGTTGCACTTTTACTTAAAAATTGGAATCGTAGAACGTTTAGAATTTTTACGATTTCTCAAAAGTTTAATCCGTTATTCATTATGTCTGAAATAACTTTCGTAATTGAATATAAAACCCGGTAGATAATCCAAACGATGGTTTCTTACCCTCTTTCGGATTAACCTCCCCTGTATTAAAACTAGTTTAATTTGGACAACTCGTGATATGAGTGCGCGCGCACACACACACACAAATACGACACATGTTCTTGTTGTTCTTTTACGCATCACAACCTTGTTCATTTTGCGTACTACGTAACTACCGTGAAATAGGGCGCGAATATAGTGTGTTACTGAAATCCAGTTTAGTTCAAAGTCCACTTTAATTGCTTCCCTTCTTCATAAAAGGGAAATTCTTGTATTCAATAAGAAAAAATATACAAATATACTTAAACATAAATGTTAGCTATTTATTTCGGAGTTTGTGAAATTTACATTAACACGTAAAAAAAATAAATCCTTGTATTAATTACTATATCATCTGTACGATGCCACGAACGCAGTAACTTTATTACCCCCCCCCCTCCTTTAGGTGGGGGGTGCTGCTACTTGACCTAAACTTCGCGTGGCTTGTTATTCGGTTAAACCTACCTTAATCTTTTTCATTCAAGTAGTTTGACAAAAACAAAATACTGAGCTGTTTCAAATCATATTTTGAGGTTTAAAATAGTATTAAAAAAACCCACTATTTGATTTTTTTTATGTTCTCATTTCGCCCGTTTGATACTGAATAGTGTTCTTAACATTTTTTTGGTACCAACAAAAAACACTTTTTTTGTCGATATTCGATAACTCACTTAGAATAGTCTAATTGCACGTTCGTTTTCTGAACACTTGACATACATGTATTTTTTTTAGTATTGCATCCCTCTGTTGGCTAAAAACATTTTAGATGTTATAATAGAATAGCTAGGTGATCTATCTATCTATCTATATTTGCTTACACAGTCCTAACATATAATAAATACTATGCATGCACGACGTATGTAGATGTTTCTATTTCGCATGCTACGTTGTAAATTCTGTATCGTGTAGTGTAGGACTATTTATTAGTGTTAATAAATGATTTTAAACGGTAATTTTGTCTGTTGTGATGCTTTGGTAATGTTAAAGTGTTTATTATTAGATATTTAATTATCATAAAATCTTTTCTGTTCCTGATTTTTTGACAATACAATTTATTGGCTAATAAAAAAATCACGTGAATGTAAATAGAGAACGATATAGATAGGTAGTGGTTACAAAATTCGTACAAGATTTTTGGAACAACATGGCGGGGCGAACCATGTAACAAATGGGCGAAATATTTTGTGTACATGCAAGGGTTGGCCCTGTGGTAGAGCTGTGGACTTCTGTGCGATAATACAAACTATTTCCCGCACTTTAAGCTGTGGGTGCGTATAAGAGTGACAGTCAACCTTGTGACAGTTGAAATTCACAACAGAACTATACAATGTCTTCTGCGATAGGGTAAATAATATCACGATAATTTGATAACCCATTGCTAAGAAAATGGTTTTTAACCACTTCCAGTTGGACCCAACACTAAACGAGTGAGATAATGTTGTAATCCATCTTAAACTACAATGATGATATATACAATATACAAAGGACCAGCCTCTCACGAAGTAAAATAAATAAATAATTTAATTTAATTAAAATCTGATAAAATGTCTTTTGGTGCAAACAGGGAGGTGTTTCTGTTTTGGTAATTATCCAGACATACTTTTCCATCATTCGTTATTGTAACAGCACTCTGAGAAGAATTAACATTATCTTGTATATTTTACCCTTTTATTGAAGATGTATTTAACTGCCGTTTGTTGATAAAATTAAGGGTTAATCCTCTGATCTTACAACAGGACTTTCCATCTTCATGTAAGTATCCGTAATTCTTAGATCCACCAATGACCCATGATGTCATGTAACGTCCATTAAGCTCGTCGGTAAATTCCCTGAGATAATCTTCTAGAGGAGGGGGGGGGGGTGTCATTAGTTTCGTCTGGAATGTAAACAACACTATCAGTATCGAAGTACAAAACAGATGAACGTAACTTCTCTAGTGCGCGGTACCATTTCAGAAGTGCATGAGCAGATGAAAGCTACCAGAAAGATATTTGTTTGATCTTTCCGAGATAGATAATCGTGCTTGTGTCTCCAATGGAGAGCAATAGATGCTTCATTAACGTAACATCTGTCACAATTTTGGTGTTATCGTTCATTAAGGAGTAATACTGTTTAACTGATGTTACGTAGGCCAGTTGCAATTTGTCTTAAGACATACCTTAACGACCCCGGAAAGAATTAAGACAAAAGTTTTGTAACTGACCTTCGACCCGTATTAAATTCTATATTTTCAGGGGTCAGATGCACACCTTCCTTTAAAACATACTGTTCAATAAATTCCCGTTTTACCTCTGACGTAACGCTGTGAGAAGGCCATTCTGAACTTTTCTGTTATATTTTTAGGAATATGTTTACATAATTTTGAAAAAAAAATGTGTGGATCTTTCAGGGAAATGGTACCTTTCGTGAATTTGTATTATAACCACAATGGACTGCTTTGTTCACGTCTTTGGTAACCCATGTACTGATAAAACTCTCTCATCATCTAAGTGATTACAGGGTGGTGGTATTCTTAAATTGACACGTGTTACAGAGAGGGAAAGATAATTTACCATTACTTCTCAGGGTTAGAATTTTACACTTAATGAAACCGAAATAATTATGTACATCTGAAAACAGTCAAACAGGATTATCGTTTCCTCAGGGTTAGAATTTTACACTTAATGAAACCGAAATAATTATGTACATCTGAAAACAGTCAAACAGGATTATCGTTTCCTCAGAGTTAGAATTTTACACTTAATGAAACCGAAATAATTATGTACATCTGAAAACAGTCAAACAGGATTATCGTTTCCTCAGGGTTAGAATTTTACACTTAATGAAACCGAAATAATTATGTACATCTGAAAACAGAGTCAAACAGGATTATCGTTTCCTCAGGGTTAGAATTTTACACTTAATGAAACTGAAATAATTATGTACATCTGAAAACAGAGTCAAACAGGATGATCGTTTCCTCAGGGTTAGAATTTTACACTTAATGAAACCGAAATAATTAAGTACATCTGAAAAATTTGTTGTGAGATTATGGGATGGCCAACTGGATACTCACAGTACATATTCGTCCATGGATATAGAGATGTAAAGTCAACGTACTTGATCTTTTCACCTTCCTTCAATATACATTTTGTAGCAGATCACATGTGATAGAAACACACGTAAACTTACAGAAGCTGTCAACAATATAAGATTTTAACCTCGCCATCATTAAGGGTATATTGAATATTAACCCACTCAGTGTGGCTGGAACAAAAGTTTCCCCATTGTCAACACTATTTATGCCATCATCTATTGGGTCCGGGCTCATCATCTTGACTAAATGGAGATCTAGCATCCTCTTGTCTTAATGCC